AAGAAGAAGAAGAAGAAGAAGAAGAAGAAGAAGAAGAAGAAGAAGAAGAAGAAGAAGAAGAAGGAAGAGGAGGAGGAAGAAGGGGAAGGGGAAAGAAGAAGAAGAGGAGGAGGAAGAAGAAGAAGAAAAGGAAGAAGAAGAGGAGGAGGAGCAGCAGCAGGAGGAGGAGGAGGAAGAAGAAGAAGAAAGAAAGAAAGAAGGAAAGAAAGAATGAATGAATGAATACATCTGGAGTTATGAATACAGGGGTGGAAGGACTCGTATCAGTTACAGCCATTGCTTCCATGTTTAGGTTTCCTGTCCTAGGGCTCTTACACATCAAATGCTCCATTGATTCTTTGGAGTTCAGACAAACAACATGGTGAGAATTCTCACCCAACAAAAGCTGTCAAGAGAACAAGCATTTCCACCTACAAAATGGTGGCCATGTTGGTCTCAGGCAATCATAAAGTACCTATTTTCAGAACGCTCAAGTGTGGCTAAACGAGCTAATCCAAAGACCTAACTACAGGTCATCCTCGACTTACAACTGTTCACTTAATGACCATTCAAAGTTACAACAGCATTGAAAAAATGTGACTGATGACCACCTTTCACACTTAATGACCGCTGCAGCATCCCCGGGCTCATGTGATCCCTTTTGCGACCTTCTGACGAGCAAAGTCAATGGGGAAGTCCAGATTCACTTAACGGCCGTGGGACTCATTGAAGAACTGCAGCGATTCATTTAATGAAGAGAAAAGTCGTGAAAAGGGGCAAAACTCACTTAATAAATTTCTCATCTAGCAACATGGGGCTCATTTGTGGTCGTAAGTTGAGGATTATCTCCAAGAACTCCACTTTTTGAGTAGGTTACGCTTATCTTTGAAGCAGTTGCAAAAAGTTTTTCAATTCAACCTTGAAAGAAAAGACACCTACCAGCTGCGGTGACAGGCGCTCGCTCCGTCCTGCCCTTCCACACGGCTGCGTATCCCTCTTCATGCTTGTTGAAAGCCATCAGCCTGATTTCATAAAGCTGTCCAGGAACTGGACGGAGTAAAACAGAGATAAGCGATTCACTGAACAAAATGCCAAAAAGAGGCAAAAGCCAGCAAAAAAATTAGTTTAGCTGAGCTCTGGCATTCTGCTAGTTGGAAATTATTATTTTTTCATGCTTTATTTATTTTATTATATTGCTTTCCATTTCCATCAAACAGAGCATGATCTGGGTACAATTATTTNAAATAAATAATAAAATGAAATAAAATAAATAATAAAATGAAATAAAATAATACATAAAATAAAAATAAAATAAAATCTAGAAACTTCTGGGTTTTTTAAAAAAAGAACTCCTTTTCTGCTGTACTAAGATTAAGATCCTCCTTTGCATTCCCATCCCATTGTCAGGTAACACTTCATGCTTCTATGCTTACTGTCTGGGAGAGTTAAACACTCCACCACATTTCCAAAGGGACTGTCCATTCCGACTCCATTGGACTGCACCGCAAACTCGTATCTTGTGAACGGTTTCAGTCCGCTGATAAGAACATCCTCTTTAGAGCTATGGAGAAGAAGAAGAAGAAAATTCCCACAAGAGGATGAACCCAGGATCACACAAACAGGCCTCCTTCAAAGACAGGCATGATTTTGGCAGCCTTTGAATGGTAGAATCATAGAATGATAGAAATGTAGGGCTGGAAGGAACATGGAATCACAGGGCTGGAAGGGACCTTGGGAGGTCTTCTAGTCCAACCCCCTTGCCCATGCAGGAGACACCTACACAAATCTCAAAACAGCTCAGAAAATTCAATACTGTAATATAAAGGCAATTGGACTTTGGTTTCTTCAGAGCTTCTTGGATGAGAAGCTAAATGTTTTCAAGGAAAAACGAAGCCCAGCTGCCTTTTGGAAAAAGCACCTTTGTGGCAACCATGATATGAATGACTGAGAATCTCACAGACCCTGTAATAGGAAGGAGAAAACATAAATGCTCCTCACTAGATGATCTGAATGGTTCCAATAAGAAAAAAAAACCTCTGGTTTTAATTCTTTGGTAAGAAAAGCCCCCACATTAATTCTTCTCCACACACATGCTCCATGGCTTCATTTGCGCAATGCATCATGAGCCTTGCGACAACACGGACTCTCCTACCTTGTGTAATACATCACAAGCGAGGCATTCTTTAACCCCCAAGGGCTGAATCGCACCGTGTAGTTGACGATCTTCACGGTGGTGAAGTTGGGCTTCTTCCAACGCAGCCAAATCGCCGTGGAACTATTGGAAGCGACGTGGAGATGCCCAGGAGGTGGTGGGGGACCTTTATGAACTGGAAGATCTGAGAAGATCGCCACGGAAAAGGAGGAGGAGGGGAAGAGGAAGGGGAAGGAGAAGGAGGAGGAGAAGGGGAAAAAGAAGGGGAAAGCAGAAGAGGAAGGAGGAAGAGGGGGAGGAGGGGAAGGGAAAGAAGGGGAAGAAGTGGAAAGAAAAAGAGGAGGAAGAGCAGGAGGAGGAGGAAGAAGATGAAGAGGAAGAAGGGGAAAGAAGAGGAGGAGGAGGAGGAAGAAGGGGAAGGGGAAAGAAGAAGAGGAGGAGGAGGAGGAGGAGGAGGAGGAGGAAGAAGAAGAAGAGGAAGAAGAAGAAGAGGAAAGAAGAGGAGGAAGAAGAAGAAGGTGAAAGAAGAAGAGGAGGAAGAAGAAGAAGGGGAAGGGGAAAGAAGAAGAGGAGGAAGAGCAGGAGGAGGAGGAAGAAGAAGAAGAGGAGGAGGAGGAGGAAGAAGAAGAAGAAGAAGAAGAAGAAGAAGAAGAAGAAGAAGAAGGGGAAAGAAGACGAGGAGGAGGAAGAAGTAGTAGAAGAAGAAGAAGAAGAAGAAGAAGAAGAAGAAGAAGAAGAAGAAGAAGAAGAAGAAGGAAGAGGAGGAGGAAGAAGGGGAA